TCAACTTGAGAAATGCTGAGTGTGTATTGGTTTCTTACTACTTTTAGATTTTTGCACATTTTGTTAAAATGCTTTACTTTGTCTTTGAAATATTTTCAACTCTTACTTTTCATCATTTGTTCCTTTCCTTTTGGCTTCTTTATGGGGCAGAGCCAGTTTCAGAGACCCTTTAATATTTACTTTGGCCTTTGTTTCCTGTGTTTTTAAAAGACCTTTTGCTTTGTGTATCTCATCCCCACAACTCATTTGGTCTTTCGTCATTAAAGTTCAAAGCATCTAGTCTGTTTTTGAGCTGGTTTTTAAATTTAGGTATGATAAGCTCAAGGTCCTATTTTGGCTCTCATGGACTTGTTTTCATTTTCTTCAGCTGTAGTTTGAATTTACATAGGAGTAATTTATGGTCTGTTCGTTACTTGGTAGAAAAGAATAGGTATTTTTAATTAGCATTTTGCCAGTGATTCTGATATGCATGGTGCTTTGAGCAGTACAGACTCACCATTTTATCTCATTCTTTCTTTTACTGTTTCCCTTTGTTCCACACTAGAGTTGAGGTGGAATTTAAACAATTAGCAGGTAACCAAGGGATCAATTTCAAATGATGTATCTTATTTGACATGCAGCGTTTTAAACAGGATTATGGTAGGGCTCATTCTAATTAGTATATGAGTGTGGTTCTGTATATATAATGGAAACTGTATCCAATGCTGAGCAAATCATTAGAGAAGCTGAACTTTATGAAGAAGAATGTGGTATCAAGATTGCAGGAAGACTCATCAACAACCTGCATTATACAGATTATACAACTTTGCTGAAAACAAGAAGGACTGGAGGCACTTGCTGCAGATGATTGAGGACTGCAGCCTTGAATATGGATTACATGTTAACATAAAAAAAACCAAAAACCTCTTCATGACAGGGCCAATAGACACATCATGATGTTGTTGTTGTTGTTGTTGTTATGTGCCGTCGAGTCACCTGCAACTCACAGAGACCCTATGTACAACAGCCCTAAACCCTGCTCTATCCTGTGACAATCTTATTGTCTCCAACACACCTATCCCCATTACCCGAGTCACTGAGTCAATCCACCTTATCAAGGGTCTTCCTCTTCTGCACTGTCTCTCCACCTCCCAAGCAAGTCCCTCCCCAAGGACTGATCCCACCTTGCAACCCGTCCAAAGTATGTCAGACGAAGTTTCAGAATCCTTGCCTCCAAAGAGAAGCTTGGCTTCACTCTCACCAGGACAAACTTGTTTGTTCTCCTAGCAGTCCCTCCAGCACCACAGCTGCCAATGCCCAGTGGTGAGAATCTTTGTTTTCTTGATATTGCACTTCAGTCCATTTTGTGTGTGTGTGTGTGTGTGAGAGAGAGAGAGAGAAAAATTTATATTTAGAATTAGCCTGCTGGACTCAGTTTAGATGATCCCAATTTTGTTGGCAACATCCAAAAGCATCATAATCAGGAGCAAGTCAAACATAGTCCTTCTTCTCTCCATCAGGCCTAATCAGAGTGTTGACCTTAGCCACATCAATGTCATAGAGCCTCTTTACAGCTTGTTTAATTTGGTGCTGTTGCCCTTGACATCCACAATGAACACAAGTGTGTTGTTATCTTCTATCTTCTTCATGGCTGACTCAGTGGTCAGGAGAAATTTGATGATGGCATAGTGGTCAAGCTTGTTTCTCCTGGGGGCGCACTTCCAGGGGTATTTGGGCTGCCTTCGGAGTCTCAGCATCTTAGGCCGCCAGGAGGTGGGTGATGTGAGGATCTTTTTTTTTTTTGGCTGTGGATGCCTTTCAGGACTGCCTTCTTTCTTGGCCTTTAATGCCTTTGCTTTGGCTTTGGTTTTGGGAGGGGCAGGGGCTTCCTTCTTCGCCTTCAGCGCCATCTTCGAAAAAGCCAATCCATATTGAAGACTGCAGTCCTTGACCTTCTGCAGCAAGTGCTTCAGGTCCTCCTGAGTTTTAGCAAGCAGGATTGTGTCATCTGCATAACGCAGGTTGGTGATGAGTCTACCTCCAAACCTGATGCCATAGTTCTCCTTATAGAGCCTAGCCTCCCGGATAATGGAGAAAAGATTGAAATTATCAGTTATTTCACCTTGCTTAGATCACAGTCAACATCAGGAGATCAGGAGACGACACATCAGCATTCGGGAAGTCTGCTGTCAGGGACCTCTACTGTTCTAAAGAGCAGTGCTATAATTTTAAAGACTAAAGTATACCTGATTCGAATGCTCAGATTTCGAGCAGTATCTGACAGACAAGCATTTTACAGAAAGGAGCTGATAAAAGACATTTCCCAATTATAGAAGCAACCAATAGATTCCGTGTTATTCCTTGCCTTTGGCACTTCCTCTTTCCTTTGTCCCACTTCACCAGCATCCCCTTCCACCCCTGCCTACCCCATTCAACACCTCTCTTCCCCTATCCAGCTTGTCTCAAGCCTTCTATGCTTCTGTGATTCCAGTTGCCTTGTGCTGCTGCAGGTCTCCTATGCTGAAGCCAGTATCCCTTGAGTCATGAGTCTCTGAAGTCCAAATTCCAGGTACTAGTATTAGGGAAAGTTTTCTATTTCAGACGATTCTGAGGAAAAGTCCTTTCCCTTGAACTTCTTCTCCAGTACAGACTTCATGTGGCTTATTGCCTCTTCCATTTGCAGCACACTGCTGTCACAGCAGGATAATTTCCCAGGAGAAGTTGAATTGCATGTGGAAGGTCTTCTGTCAGAGATCTCTCCAGAGTACTTAAGAGCAGTGATGTCAGTCTGGAGACTTAAGATGTGCCTGATCCAGGCTATAGGCTTCACAATTACTTTCCTATGCATCAGAAAGCTGGACAGTAACTAGGGATGATAGAAGGAGAATTGATGTCTTGAGCTATCATGTTGGAGAATAGCATTGAATATACCATGGACTGCTAGGAGAACAAATAGGTTCATCCTGGAGAGGGTAGCAGCTCCTTGTAGGCAATGATCCTAAAGCTTTGTCTGACATGCTTTGGACATGTTGCAAGGAGGGGCCAGTCCTTGGAGAGGGACATCATGCTTAGGAGAGTAGAGGGACAGTACAAGATGGAGAGACCCTCCATGAGATGGATTGACTCAGTAATGGGGGTGATGGAAGTAGATGTGCCAAAGATGATAAGGTTGGCTTCAGATAGAGCAGGGTTCAGAGCTGTTGTACATAGGGTCGCTATGATTTGTGAGTGACTCAGTGGCACCTAACAACAGTACCTGATTCAAGCCATAGTTTTCCCAGTCACCTGCTGTGCATCTAAGAGCTGGAAAATGAATAAGGACGACAGGAGAAGAATCATTGCCTTTGAGTTGTTACATTGGAGAAGAGTAGTAGATATCCCATGAAATGCAAATAGAACAAACAGTTATGTCTTGGAGACCAGACATAAGTGCAACTAGAGTGGAAGCAAGACATACTTTGGACATGTTGTTAGGAGAGGCTATTCCTTGGAGAGGGACATCATGGTTGGAAAGGTGGAAGAGGGTTAGCAAAAGAGAGGAAGACCCTCAACAAGATGGATTGCTGCATTGTCTGCAGCAGTGGGTTCAAGTGTGTCAAGGATGATAAAGATAGTGTGGGACAGAACAGCATTCAGATCTGTTGTTCATAGAGACACTATGAGTCATGCTCAGCAGCATTTAACAACAACAACAATACAACAATGAAAACATGATAAAAATATCCAGCAGCTTCTCTGAGATCCTTCCCTTCTAAAAATCCAGTCTTATTCTGACATGGTCCTTGAATGTCTATTTTCTTTTTATATGCCAGTTTTCTATGTTTTAGAATCCTTTAGAGGCTTATTCCTATCTTGACTAATGCTGATGAAGCCTAGGAGAAAAACAAGGGAGAAAAGTTTCACTGTCCTTTTTCTCCGGAACTGCTAAGTAACAATGTCCCAAGCATTAACCCTCTCACTGGGCTTCTGTTTCACATACCATTGGCATCTTGGGAGGACGGGCCAGTCCTTGGAAGAGGACAACACCTTGGAAAGGTAAAGGGTTAGCAAAGGAAAAGAAGACCATCAGTGAGAGGAATTGACACAGTGACTGTGGCAGTGGACTTAGGCACAGGGCATATGTGAGGATTACGCAGGATCAGGCATGGTTATATCTCAGTTTATGAGCTCCTTGAAAAGATTGCTTTACTCAATTTATGTTCTCCCAGAGTACTCAAATGTGTTTTATGCAAAACCGACTATAAATTTAATACTTTATGTGAAAATACATACTTTATGAGTAAATGAATATTTACTTATAGGAATGTTCACAAATTTTTAAGAAAAGGTTACATATAAAAACTCTGTAGGATTAACCTAAATTACTGAATAGAAATACTTTCTTAAAATTAGCTAATAGATTTTCCCAAACTTTGTATGAGAATCTTATATACAGTTGTATGGTAGAGATTTTAGTATAAAGTTAAATTGTGGATTTTAAAGTATTGGATTTGATCTTTAGTGTTATTGCTCACATGTAAGTGTTATGTAAAAATGACCTAAATTTTTTATTATTAATTTGAAGATTAAAAATGGGGCTAATGGTGAAGATGGATGAGAAATTGTGTATTAAGAGTGGTACATAACATTGTGGATAACAGTTCAGATTCTTCTGCTGTAACAATTTAAAAGTATTTAATTTGGTGGCTTTTTAATTTAGTAATAATTATTACTGGGTTTTTTCTTTGGTTTTTTTTTATTAATTTTAATAAGCATTTACAGAGATTTTAGATTTCCCTTCATTCATTGCTGCACTTTTCTCCCTGCCCACCCCTCTCCATCAATATTAATACTGTTTAAAACCATCCCAGTGTTAAGGAGTTAGAGACATTTTCCTTCTTCATACTTTTCAAATTTCATACTACATTCAGTTTATATTCTGTGAATATCTTCAGCATTTTTAAAATATTTAAATACTTTTTAAAGCAGAAAAATATTTTTTAAATAAATTTTCTTACATCATAATCTTTTTTTTATTTCAGTCTTGGCCTGAGTATGAGGATATTTTTAAAAAAACTATTGAAGTGGCTACATTTTTAGATTTGCCTCGTTTTCCAGATATAACTGAAGACTGCTATCTACATCCAAATATCTTGTGTATGAAATACTTAATGGAAGTCAATCTACCTGGTAAGTGTGTAATATGCTGTAGTGAAGAAACTTGTTACCTACTGGATTTAGAATGAGAGAAATATTTTCAAATCACAGAATATAAGAGCAACTTACCAGAGCACTTAAAATTGTTAAAAGAGAACACTATCCAGAGATAAATTAAAGAGGCTTGGGAGGGTGGAGGGATGGCGCAAAAGGGGAAGACCCTCTATGAGATGGATTGATTCAGTGACTGGGGTAATCGGGATGGGTGTGTCAGAGGCAGTGTGACTGGCACAGGATAGAGCAGGGTTTAGGGCTGTTGTACATAGGGTCGCTGTGAGTCGCAAATGACTCCACGGCACATAACAACAACAACAGTTTATTGGATAAGGGAGCTCTAGTGGCAAGAATCTGCACTGCAATCCCAAAGGTATGAGGTTTGAGGCCATCAGCTGCTCTGTGAGAGGAGGATGGGTAGTCTCCTCCCATATGTTTAACTGCCTCTGAAAACCTGCCAGAGGGTCAGCTATGAGTCGGTTCTGACTCGATGGTAAACAACAATTTTATTGGATGTAAAAATGTGAGGGCGTTCATTTCAAGGAATACATCTGATTTCAGAGTAATCTCATTGTTTCTATTGTTGTTGTTAGCTGCCGGGAAATTAGGCCCAAATTCATAGTCACTCCATGTCCAGTAGAAGGCCAAGTAAAATAACTGAATGCCTCAGTGTGTGTTATTGAAAGTCCTATCCCCCTCCCTCAAAACAGTATCAATTTTTTTTTATTTGTGTGAAGCTTTATTATTACACAGTAAAATATAATTTTAAAAATCACATAAACCAAGCCAAACGTGGGTGACTTTTAATCCACAGCCCTCAGGCCTATTTTTCATTGTTTTTGTTCAAACAATCTTCTAGGTCATATAGCCCTGGTGTGTCCACTTGCTGTACAGTGGTAACTTGTGGTTGCTGTGAAGCAGAACACTGTGACACTGATGTGTCAAATGTGTTAATGGTTCCCCATGGTGGACAGTGTTTAGTGGCGCTCCCCGATTAAAACAAGCTTAGAAGCTGGAGTGGCATCCACTTCCATAATAGCTTGCCTCTGGAAACCCTGTGAAACTGGAGAAAGGATGAAAGTCACACAAGGGTTGAGGACTTTCGTTCAACAACAACATTTTTGATAACACATGTTATTTCCTATCTCTAAAACAAATTGAAAGAAAAGTTTAGTAGTGAAGTTAACACGAAAGCACAGAATGTCCAAACAGCCTCACTATGCTTAGCTTAAAATATATTAAGGCATAGGTGACTCACATGGAATCTGCTGATGTAATTCACTCCTATTATTTCTTGCTAAACTAGAAATGTAAGAAAGTCAGGACTTTTATTAAGAGAAAATATAAACTGTGACAATATTACTGCTTAAAAAGTATTAAAATGTAAGTTTAAACTTTTAAAAAATTAATATCTTTAAATAAAAGAGGAAAATATTTATTATGTGAAAAAGCAGTCTGCAAATTATTCAATATAATTTTTCATTAAAAATATATGTAGTAATATATAAATATAAATGGGGCTCTGGTAGCCTGGTGGCAAGAAGCTGCGTTTCAATCCCGAAACCACGCCATTCAAATCCACCAGCTGCTCTGTGAGAGAAGGATGGGCAGTCTCCTCCCGTGTGATTAACTACCTCTGAAAACCCGCTGGAGGGTCAGCTATGGTTTGGTTCAGACTTGATGGTACTCAACAATAATATGTAAATAAAAATAATATACCTATAATAAAATATTTTTTGAAATAGGAACAAATACAATCCAAACTCTCTATATATGTCATCTGGTTAAAGAATTTATATCACATTAAGATATAAGGATATAAGAAGTCACTATTTTATGAAAATTCCAAAATTACTGTTTTGGATTTTATTATTTTCATTTACTTCCTTAATAGTTCTTTCAGAATAAGACAAATTCATGTATTATGTGCTATACTTCAAAATTTTTAGGTTAGGTACTAGGGTTTAAAAATAAACAACTCTGCCCTCCACAGAAAAAAACAATAAAAATTAACTGAAGCAAGCTTCTTCCTTAAGTAATTTGCTCTTGGACAGAGAGTGGGTGGCAGAGTTTTCTGGCCAGCATGCATAGTTTAACTTATTTTTTTGTTAGTTCTTCCTGGAAATAGCAAGTACAAGTAACTTAATTAAAATGTCAAAAGAGGACCTCTGATTATCTTAGTCTGTAAGGATTTGATCTGCTAACCCAACAACCAAGCTTGTCCAGCAGTTCATTTCCACCAGCTGCTCCTCAGAAGGTGAGCAGTCTCCTCCTGTTAAAATTTATAGCCTTGCGAACAAACACATGAAGAAATGTTCAAAAATCCCTAGCTCTAAGAGAGATGCAAATCAAAACAACTATGAGATATCATCTCACTCAGAACTGGCTTTGACAAGCGCTGTGGCATTTGGACAAGAACAAACTGGGAGGAGGGTAGAGAGAATAGTGCAACAATGAATGAACGGAAACCCAAAATCTCTGTAAATGTTTATGAAAATTAATAAAATATAATTATAGGGAAAAAAAAGAATAGGAAAATTTAACAGAACAGCAAACAACAAATGCCAGTGGGATTGTGGAGAAACTAGAACCCTTATTTACTGTTGGTGACAGTGAGGAATGGTGCACACTCTGGAAGGTAGTTTGGCACTTTCTCAAAAAGTTGCAAATAGAGGGGAGCTCTGGTGACCTAGTGGCAAGCAGTTGTACTGCAAACCCAGAGGTACACAGTTCAAATCTACCAGATGCTCTGCCGGAGAAGGAGGGACAGTTTCCTCCTGTACCAGTCAGATCTGATTTGATGGTACATGCACAAAAAATAATAAAAAAAAGAAAAAAAAAGTTGCAAATAGAAATACCGTTTGACCCAGCAATTCCACTACAGGAAATATATCATAAAGAAATCAGAACTTGGAGCATGCCCAGAGTGAGATGAAGGTTCATTATCTTTGCCTCCAAGGAGCACTCTGCCTGCCCCTTCTTCAAGACATAGCTCCTTATTCTTTGGCAGCTCATGGGCTCTTCAGCTCTCTTCCCCAGCAGCACAGTTCAAAGACTTCAATTCTTCTCTGTTATTCTTAGTCATTGTCCAGCTCTCAGATGTTTAACAAGTTGACTAAAAAGACTATGACCTGAAAAAGGCACATTTTAGTTCTCAAACTGACATCATTGCTGCATTTAATTTGAAGAGGTCCCTGACTGTTGGTACCAATTATATTGACTCTAGTTCCATGTAAGGTGAAGTTGTTGACAGTCTCAGCCCTTTCTCTGTCCATCATGATTGCCTGTCAGTTCATTGGTAAGGATTTTTATTTTCTTGACATTGAGATGCAGTCTGTATTGGAGGTTGCAGTGCTTAACTTTCTGCAGCAAGTACTTCAAGTCCTTCTCACTTTGAGCAAGCAAGGTTGTATCATCTGCATAATGAAGATTATTGATGAGTCTTCTCTAATACTGATGCCATATTTTTCTTCATAGAATCCACCTTCTCAAATAATTTGCTCAATGTGGTCAAATAGATATAGAGAACATTTACAACCCTGAAATAATACCTTTCCTAATTTTATACCAACAGCTTGTTGTGATCCACACAGTCAAAAGCCTTTGCATAGTCAATGAAGCACAGATAGACATTCTTCTGGTATTCTTTGCTTTCTGCTAAGATCCATCTGACATTAGCTATAATATCCCTAGTACCATGACCTCTTCTAAATCCAGCCTGCACATCTGACAGTTCTCTGTTGACATATTGTTCCAAACGTTTTTGGATCATTTTCAGCAGACCCTTGCTTGCATGTGATATCAATGATATTGTTCGATAATTTCCACACTCTTTTGGGTCACCTTTGTTTGGAATGGAAACAAATATCAATCTTTTCCAGTCAGTGGGCCAGCTGGCTGTCTCCAGATTTCTTGGCATAACTTAGTGAGCACATCCAGGCCAGTGTCTGTTTGTTGAAATATGTCAATTGGTATGCCATCAACTCCTGGAACCTTGTTTCTTGCCAATTCCTTCAGAGCAATTTGAACTTCCTCTTTCATCACCGTAGGCTCTTGCTCATATGTCATTTCATGAAATTCTTCTGTGTCAGCCAATTCCTTCTGATACAGTGACTCTGTGTATTCCATCTTCTCTTGATACTTTCTGGATCATTTAATATACTGCCCAAAGTATCGTTAAGTATTGCCATCTGTGGTTTGAATTTGTTTTTCAGCTGCTTCAACTTAAGAAACGCTGAGCGAGTTCATCCCTTTTGATTTTCTGACTCCAGCTCTCTGCACATTTCATTATAGTATCTTGCTTTATCATCCCGGGCTGCCTTTTGTAATTTTCTGTTTACCTCTTTGATTTCTTGGTTTCTTCCTTTAGCTTTGGCTTCTCGGCGCTCTAATGCAATATTCAGAGTCTCATCTGACATCCATCTTGGTCTTTTCTTCTTTTTCAGCCTTTGTAATGATCTTTTGCATT